AAAGGGACATTATGGTTTGGACTCTTATCCCGACGGATCTTACTCCTTTAGGAGTGCCTATGAGGAAATAGGAAACAAAAGAAATACTCAAACTAATGCTCAACAAATCTGGAATATAAATATTCCAAAAAAATCTCTTTCTTTATGTGGAAGGTCATAAACAACCTCCAACCTTTCCAAGAATTTTTACAACGCTTTGGCAGTAACGGCCCCTTCAAATGTCCCATTTGTAATAATTTTGACACTAGAGATCACTGTTATACCTCATGTGATTTTAGCAAACAACTGTGGTCCCATAACGGTAACTTATTCAAAACCGCTTAAAATAACCGTGACAATCTCAACTCGCTTTTAAAAAATTGGTTTACTGCCAAAGATGAGTTTTATAACCTTCAATGTGAAGTTGCTATTTATATCTGTTGGACCATTTGGAAGAGAAGAAATGGGTACATATATGATGATAGTAATATGATTCTTTATGAGGCTATTGATAAACCCAAACCAAAACCTCAAAAGCACTCTATTCAGATTGCAACCTGGAACAAACCCCCGGGTGACTCCATAAAAATCAACATCGCCTTAGGTACAAGGACCGGTGTCACCATTTCTGGTTTTATTATTAGGGACAATAGAGGACTTATGTTACACTACAATTCTAATTTTCACACTTACTCTGATTGTACCTTTAACATTTGTGATATTTTGGTCAAGCTTTGGTATTGGATTAGGGAGAGGAATTGCACTAACATCATTATTGAATGTGAAAATCTTTAGGTAATACAGACCCTCCAGGGAAGAGATAGACCGTCATGGAAAGTGATTGCTATTCTCAATGAGTATAAAGAGTTGTATGAAGACAACAGTTTAAGCTACCCTCATATTAGGAAAGCATGTAATAAGGCAGCACATTATGTAATGCTAAACACTGATTTGTTTGCTAGTAACCCAAACAGTTATAGTAAATTCATAGGCATTGTCAAATTTGATGCTATCAGTTACCGTATGTTCTCTAATTAGGTAGGTTTTGGTGGCACATCCCCCTACCATGTAATTTTGTTTTTCTTATTAATAAACAGGTAAGTTTTATTAAAAAAACATATATGCATTTCCTAAAAAATTGTCTATACGGTGGAACAATGAACAGTACTTAAGAATCAATTCTTGTTATTCTTAGATTTAATGAGAGAAACTTGTGACAAATTTATAGAACCGTCTGAAATAGATACTATACATTGAAAAAATTGCTATGAACCTTGCCCCCACGTTTAAAAAATTTGATACTCCACCCAATATGATAACCAATTTTCTTATTACATAAAGGATTTTTTTAAAAAAATCTTATGTCTTTATTATCTCTATTGTCATTGTTTATGTTCTAGATCATCATTTTAAACTATCTAGCTATGAAATGTTTTAGAATATATTTGTTTTTATAACATTTTAGAATAGTATTTCAAACCTTTCAGATGTTCAAACACAACATAACAATATTCGTAATTTATTTCATAATTTATTGAATGAAAAAAGAAGTTATCGCTACATTGCATTCTTAAGAATGTACGATGAAGTGAAGCAAACAATGAAAAAAGAAGTTACCTCCTGATTTGAAACATTTCTACGCCATGTAATTTCACTGCTCAAATAGTACATGCACAATTGAAATCTAAGCACACAACATGTAAAGATATTTTCTTGAAGGTCTTGGCATTGTATTGAAAATGGTAAGTGGTAGCATGTGAATAGCATGCACAATAAGACAAGTAGGATGACAGTGTGTGATGACTTCAAAGTTCTAGAGAAAAGAGACAATTTGAGATGATTCAGTTAAAAGGCCAATGGACATGTCATCACTATCTTCAGATGATTTAGTCAGTACAGATGTAGCCACAATGTTATGTGTTGTACAAGAAACAACATCTTCGGAGTGTCCACAACTTGAATGACTAAACAGGAAAATGGCCAGAAACAGCAACATAAATTGAATGAGACTGTGAAACATAAAACTTCTCAGTTTGCTTGACCTTAGACTCCATGGTTGAACTCCTAATTTGATTAAACAAAACATTCATTGATGAGGGAGAGAGGATGAGGTTGTTAAGACCTAGGGTTCTATCCTAAAAAGGTAACCTTAGGTCTTAACATGATATCAGAACACAAAACTGGTATTTGATGTAACATATAAACAACAAAAGATATAGTCCACAAGATATAAGTTCATCTTAATACTCATAAAATTTTCTTTATCATTGAAGTGAACACCAAGGCATCAATCTTAAAACCCTTTTTAGTTTGTCACCATACTTTAAACTTCACTTTAACACCACCTCGGTCTCATCAATTAACACAATATCGTCAGGAAACATCATGTATCATGGTATATATTTTCCTGAATTGACTTCATTAGTTCATGTGACTATATAGCAAATAAAAATAATTTCGAGTCGATCCTCGGTGCAGTCGGAATGTATAGGGAACTCTGCGACTCTCTTTACACTAGTACGAATACTTGTGGTATAATTCTCACACATATTTATGTTGATATCGTTATATTCATGTTATTTAAAGCCCACCAAAGATCCACCATTCACTATATTTTAAATCATATAACTGAAATTTCTGTTCTTGTCGCATATTAGAGCTGAACCTCCCAACTGAGTTCTAGGTTTTGCAATCAAATATGAACTAATCATAATTAAAATGGTCATGGTTTAAACTCTAAATAGTTTTTACATGTCCAATGCCAGTCTAGTTCAAAATTGGAACAAATATTCACCCCTAATAAGTATTCACCCCAATTTTTATTACCCATCCGCCCATCACTATCATGGCTTATTGATGCACCAGACAATCAAAATATGATACGTAGTATTTACTTGACCAATTCAACTTTCTTTGCACCTTCAATATAATTACTCAACACAAATTTTTTATTAAAACTTTTATTACTAACTCTGTTTCCAAAAAAAGTTGGCAAAGTTTTTGTAATCAATGATGGCAAAGTTTGAAAAATTATTTGTATGTGATTCATAAATTATATGCTTTTATGAAAATATTTTTAATAAGGAACATAATTTCAACATTCAAAATAATTCCATACTAAAATATATCATTACTCAATTTTGACTATCATTGATCAAGAAAAGTCAATTTAACAAACCTTTTTAGACAGAGGATTGCTATACGTCACTTTTTCAGTTTTTTGAATGATTACGATTTTAAGTCAAATATTCCAATGTAACAGAAAATATATTGGGAGTTTAACTTTGAGAAAATGGAAACTAATAATCCAACCTTTTAGCGGTCTTCTTTCAATAATTCCACCTTTTGATTATTCATGAATAATCCAACCTTTGCACCTCATCTTCATTCATTGGTCCCTGGTCGGTTAATGACCTACTATTCCAAGTTATTTTCTTATCTTTGCAAAATATTATCTTTGTGAAAGATGAAATTTATGGTATGATGATTTGCAAAGATAAGAAAATAGCTTGGAATAGCAGGTCATCAACCGTTCAGGGACCAGTGAATGAAGATGAGGTGCAAAGGTTGGATTATTCATGAATAACCAAAATGTTGGATTATTATAAGAAGACCGTTAAAAGGTTGGATTATTAGTTTCCATTTTCCCTTTAACTTTTTTGTTGTTACTTCAAACCTATGATAGAAAACAAAAATGAAAGATGTAAAACAATTTTTTTTATAATGAGATCTTATTTGTAGCACTCGGATATACTTTAAAAGCCTTGAGCAGTCGAAACTTTAAAAAAAATTCAAACTTTGTAGACTCCCTCTTTTTTTGAACCAGTGTAGTCTCCCTCTTTATTCTATTGTTATCTACAATATGGGTCACCATAATATTAAAGGAAAACATAGTTTAGGTAATGAATAGTGTTGAAAAACTAGGAAAGAAAATGAAAAAAACGAGAAAGAAAATAGTATAAAAAAGTAGAAAAAATAAATGTGATCGAGTATTAAAACAAAAAAATAACCAAAAAATGAAAGTATATCAAACAAAAGAACACTTCCCAACGAGGAAAGTGTAATAAAACAAAAGAATACAAATATAATATTGATGTCACATGAAAGATCATAAAAATTATGAAAATTGATACTCCCTTTGTATTTTAAAGACTGTTACATCAGCTTAGACACATTATTTAAAGAGGAATGCAGTAAAGATAATGAATAGTGTAGAAAAAATGGAAAATGGTATAAAATTATGAAATAGAAGATAAAAAATAGAAGAGGTATAGGTATTGAATATTTTAAAGGGCAAACTTACCAACATGGGAAAGTGTATCAAACTTTTAAATACAACCCAAAATAAAAAATGTAGCAAACTTTAAAATAACGAACGGAGCATATAACTTACAAAAATACTTGGTGTACACCTTTCGCACACCTTGTCTATCCACAAAGACAAAGTTTTATACTGACAATTCATATTGCAATTTAGAAATTGTTTGTATAGACACAACTCTGTCTGTGTAGACAAACAAAGTGTACAAATAGTGTATATAAAAAAGTGTACAGCAAACATTTTTTTATAATTTATAAAAACTAGAGTGCAAACAAAAAATGTTATAACTTCAAAAAAATATGAGATTTTTTCTCCTAAGTCTCCCATCTGTGATCCAGGCCTGGACTCAGGCCGGGTCGGGTCGGGCCTAGGCCTGGTTGGGCCTCCGGTCCTAGAATGGGGGGCCCAGAACCGGCCCGTCCTTCGCCCAGTGCCGGTTCGGGCCGGGTCACCCGCCCGGGTCCCGGGCCAGGCCACCCGCCAGGTCGGGTCGGGCCTATGTAATTTTTTTACTTATTAATTCAACTTAAATATGAAATACATTTTTCAATAAATACTAATATAATTAATTCTAAGTTGTAAGTTGTAAGTTTGGAACCAATTAATTAATTAATTTGAGAAGTGCTACATATTAAAAAAAAGAATGTATATTTATTTGAAATATGAACTACAACTTTACAAATTACAATAGAGAATTGAGGGGAAAATTAAAACATGAAATACATTTTATAAAAAATTGTAAAATACTAATCAATCGGAATCTCCGGCATAGGAGCCACCCTCGGTTGTTGATTCATCCATAAAGTCTTGAGAGGGGGTGATGCTAATTTCTTGAATTCTATGTATGACCTTCAACCAATCGTGGTAGCATATAAGCGTCTCAAGAGACTCAGTGCTCAAACTCATTCTAGATGCCGTTAGAACGTTGCCGACCGAACTAAATTCTTGTTCCACAGCAACTGTTGAAACTGACATTGATAGCACTTGCTTAGCCATCCGTGCCAAAATCGGGAACATTCTTTCTTTTGACTTCCACCACTTTAGAACGTCAAACTCCTCATTTTCGTCAAATTCTACCTCATAATTTATATACAAAGAAATCTCATTAAGTGCACTTTGTTCAGTAGTGTGAGTTGTTTTAGTTTTTTTCACAAGATTGCCAAAAGCAGATTTAAAAGTGATTTTCCTTTAGATGAAGATGTGTGTGTCGGGAGAGGGGGCGCGTTGTCATATTGTGCACGAAACTCATTAAATAAGACATAAAATAAATTACTAACCTCGTTGTATTCAACTTGCAGACCTATGGCGTTATCGTCATACATTGGAAATGGACCAAAAAAGGCATTATAATAGAACTTCAAACATTCTTCCAAATTACCAAGTCTATAACGAGGATCGAGAATAAATGCAATACCATAAATATGCGGAATATGTGCATAATATTTTAAAAACTTTTCCTTCATAAAACCACAAAAATAACTCACGTAAGTGGCATTCTCAAATCCATTAAAAGCACCGGTGAGATTAACAACTTCACGAATAAATTCGTTTGAGGTAGGTTTATAAACATGACTAAAACTATCAGTTGCATTATTAAAATATATCAAAACATTACAAATTTTTTCGCAAGTGTCGATATGAGCGGAGTTTAAAATATAGTTATCATATTGTCTTAAAAAAGCAGGAAAATGTTCTTTATATCTAAGAAGAACTTTAATTAATTTATAAGTACTATCCTACCAAATAGACAAATCTTTAGAAAAAGCAACATATTTCACACCTCTTTCAATCAAATAATTTTGCCATTTTAATTTAAGTTGACCATTGCCCCAAATACGTCTAATCCCCCCCTTGACTACTTCCATGGCATCTCCTAACGCTTTTATACCGTCTTGCACACATAAATTTATAATATGGCATGCACATCGTTGATGAAAAAATCTACCCGTCAAAGTATTAGAACCACACAATTCACGCAATCTAGGTATAGCAGCAGTATTATTACTAGCATTATCAAAACCTATAACAAATACCTTATTAATCAAATTATACTCAGTTAAAATACGTTCAATCAAAATATAAATATGTTCAGCGGTGTGACGATCATTAAATTCACGAAAAGTAAGAACACATTTATGCAAATTCCAATCATTATCAATAAAATGTGCAGTCAAGCCCAAATAATGTAAATTATGATAAGTATCCTCCCAAATGTCAGAACAAATAGTTACACGGCCATCAAAGTTTGCAAAAAATTTTGTAACCTATCCTTTTCCGCACGATAAAACCTTATAATTTCTTTCTTAACCATTTTGCGACTATAACCTCTAAATTGAGGGTTTAAACAAGTTTGTGCATACTCTTTAAAAGCAAGACTTTTAGAAAACAAATAAGGCAAATTTTCTTCAACAAGTAAGTTAGCCATACCAGTCAAATTTCGTGCATCATTGTATGAGAAATTACCAAAAGGTTGGTCATTTACAAACCTCGATATTTAAGTTTGCTTCCCCTTGCCTTTGTCTATTTTCGCATACTCCATAGAGTGCGCGGACTTAAGATGCCTTTTGAGGCTCCCGTATCCGTCGGAAGTTCCCAAGCTATACTCCTTGCAATGATCGCAACTTGCGTACCATTTATCGGCTGTTTTGTCTTTTCCTCTTTGTAAAATTATTTTCTATAATAGGAGATTTAGATTTCTTACCAACTTGGGATGAACCGCCCTCGTTCTCCAACTCTTGCTCATCATCCGGGGTGCCGTGAGTCCCGTCGCCCCCCTCGTCGTCCTCCGCATCGTCATCCTCGAGCTCCTCTTCATCAATGGACTCCGAGATGTTTTGTTGTTGGAAAAAGCGACCATCATTTTGCGCCAATAGTTGTTGTAGTTGCTCGTCGGACATTGCATCCACATCTCGCCTTTGGTATCCCGTTTCAAAATCTTCTCGACTTTGAGAAGAAGATTCGGCCCGCCCTTTACCTTTGTCTTTGCGTAAACTAGGATGCCTTGTCGCAATCTCCTTCCTTCGGTTGCGTTGGAGATTACTCATATCTACGGAATGTCTACCACGGTCCATTTTAAAAATGTAACAAATATTATATGATATCAAATGTTTTAATATGAGTACAATAGTAATGATAAAATGCGACTAATAAAATTATAGCAAATTTCCAAGAATCCACTTACTAATAAAATTAACTAGTTTTAAACTTTAATGCAACAATTAACAATTAACAATTAACTAGTTTTTACTTTTATGATAAATGCAACAATTAACAAATTAAATAATAAAGAAATGAAATATGTAATATATAACTAGTTTTATACTTTAATGCAACAATTAACAATTAACTAGTTTTTTTACTTATATGATAAACGCAACAATTAACAAATTAAAGAATAGGGAAATGAAAAATGTAACAATTAACTAGTTTTATACTTTTATGATAAATGCAACAATTAACAAATTAACTAATAGCGAAATGAAAAAATGTAACAATTAACTACTTTTATTAATAAGTGAAAAATGTAACAATTAACTAGTTTTATGCTTTAATGAAAAATGTAACAATTAACTAGTTTTATACTTTAATGAAAAATGTAATTAATTAACTAAATTAGGATAATGAGAAATGTAAAAATTAACTAATACGATGAATTTAATTACTATGAATTCAAGTGTAACTAATATAATTCTATAACTAATATATAATATAATGTTTATAGTATATAATATATAAGTATATTACTATAAGATGAGTATACACTTATATATAATACTGTAATATAGATAAGTAATATAGATAAGTAAATAACAATAAATATAGATAATAAGTAGATATCAAAGTAAATATTAAACAGATGGAGATGTATAAGTAGATAATAAGTATATATTAAGTAGATAACAAATATTAGTAATATAATATAGGTATATAAGTAGATTATTGTATAACTAATATATAATATAATGTTTATAGTATATAATATATAAGTATATTACTAGTACTATAAGATGAGTAATACACTTATATATAATACTTTAATATATATAAGTAAATAACAATAAATAAAGATAATAAAGTAAATATTAAAAAGATGGAGATGTATAAGTAGATAATAAGTATATATATTAAGTAGATAATAAATATTAGTAATATAATATATGTATATAAGTAGATAATTAATATATAAGTAGATATACTAATTATATAAATAATATATATGTAGAGAAATTTGGAGAAGATGAAGATGGAGATGATTGAGTATGAGATAATAGAAAATTAGAGAGTAGGATTGTATGAAGATGGTGTAAAAAATGTAGAGAGAATAAGAGTATAAATAGGAATTTTTTGGTATCCCCACCCCCCCACCCCCGGACCCCCCCCCCCCCTCCTCCCCCTCCAACAGCAATAGAGTCGTTTGGGATTATTCCCAACGGCTAGGGAGCCTTCATTAATTAATTATTTTAAAAAAAAGCCGTTGGAGGCCTGGATCAGGGTCGGCCCGGTCAGGCCGGTTCGTCATTTGCAAGGCCCGAGCCCAGACCGCCTACCTACCGGGCCAGGTAGGCCCGAACCATCCAGCTGACCGGTTCCCGAGCCGGGTCGGAACCGTACCAGTTCGGACCGGTTCCGGTTCGGTCCGACCAGCCCGAGTCCAGGCCCGAGTGTGATCCATGCATTCTCTTCCATGCACAACAATGATTACAAGTGGCAAACCCCTCATCCAAGGGTGCATACACTCACTTTGGCATCCTTCTATACATAATTTTGGATGGGTTGCATAAACTTTGGCGTGCCACCAAATTGCAGGAGTAAAATAAAAAAGAAAGGGTAGAAAACTAAAGATAAAAAACATCAACAAAATAGACAATTGAAAAAATAGAAATACAAAACTATAACATACAGGAAAGGCCGTAAAAGGGTTATTATCCCAATGACTCAATGTCAAATGCGCCACATTTATTCCGATGGTGTCATTAAATTGCACTTAACAGTGAAGTTTATTGCAAATTTTGTAGGTGGATGATGCCAAATACAGAGCAACGGATTTGCTTCATAAACTACTACTGCTCCTTCAATGGTAGAATCAAATATTGGAGTGTTCGGGTGGAAGTGTAGAAATGTTTCTAAGTGCTCCGAGTTGCTCCTAAAAACAGTTTTTCGGAAGTTGGAAAGACCAACATCTGAAAAACTTATTCGCATCCTCCTGTTTTTTTAAAAAAGAAACAGAAGCAACACCAATTCCAAACATCCCTCAATACATACAGACTTGATGATGCATTATGTAGGAAAAACAAATAGAGGTACTGAGGTAGATAAGGCACCAACTTTATGATTAAAAACCTTGGTCATGAGTTGACATGTCAACATCCAACTTATCATCCAACTTATTTTTGACAACAAAATGATAATTTATTACACAAACGGAAAAAGAATGGCAAACCAAACATAGTTAAGCTTATGGACTATAGAGCTCAAGAACAAACAAATCAAATAATCACTCTACTCTTAGAAACAGCAAAGTACAAACTACTACGGTCAACAAATCGGTAAGAGCAGTTATGACCTGTTGTGTATAGTATGAGGCCTAACATATGACATAGCCTGGCACCTCAAGGTTGGTTGGTAGATACACATCCACTGGTTTGCAGTTCTCATACTCATAAGATCAGCGACAATTTTAGATCCACCAACCATGGTGGCGAACTTTCAGTCATTATCACCAAGCGGTTTTGGCACGTTTCATTCCAGTGGAACTAAAAGGAGATAAACTACCCCTTGGTTGGGGGCTCTCTTCTCTGAAACTGTTATTCAGCAAAGCAAGCTCCCTAAGTTGTTGTCTCTTATACATGTCTTGAGACTCGTCCTGTGTTTCAAGGTACAAAAAAAAAGCTCATCACAAAGAGTCAAGAATCAACTTTAGGTGTTACAAACCTTTTAGTCTTCACTAGTTCTATGTCATCCATATTCATGCAAAAATCATTCTCTTTAATGCACATCTTGAAATCAATTACAGTTTATTTATTTTTATAATATTTTACAGAGTGTTATTACACAAACTTAAAATTTTAGAAATCACATCCTTTCCCAGTAATTTCCTTTCCGTTAACCTGTTTGGGGAAATCTATCAGGTTTCCTGTTAATAAAGAATTGTGTGATATTGTTCATTTTCTGTCTAAATAAACTTCAACCATGCAATTTCATTTTCTAAATGGGCTTCTCAAGTCTAAGCTGGAAGAAAATTGTGAGACGGCACATGAAAAATAAGCTGTGCTAGACAGGAATCCAAGTTAAAAATTTATATTAAAAGAATGGTAAAGAAATTAAACAGTGAAAGAGGAAATAGCTTGACTAATGATTGTCTATACTAATATAAGATGTTAGTTAGGCAAGGATTAATCACGGCTCTACAGGATCTAAGTAGAACTAGGTGACCCAAAGCATGAACACAACAAAAACAGCCAAAGTCGAGAATTTTTGCAATAATGCAATGCCATTGACATATTGACCAAGCAGCAGTTACATTGGAAAAATAAAAATTAACATATACTAGCCTAGTACTCATTTGTCTTTCCTGTGTTTCAGTTTATTGGTTTGATGCACGAAACATGAAATCAAACTACAATATTAAAGGAAAAAGGCATAACACACTCCATTAATACTCAACAGTAGATATGTGAACAGAGGATTTAAAAAACAAGTAGACAGCATACCACGGGTTTGAGCAATTCTTCAATAATTTCCCTGGCTTGTTTCAGTTGTGAATCAATGATATTTATTGGTAGCTCTGCCTCAACCAAAACATGCAATGGCTCATTTAGGTGCTCATAACCAGGCCGTCCCCTTAGGCTGTCTTCCTGGAATTTAAGAAACAAAAATCCATAACCAGAAGAAATCTAAAAACCATGAAAGAGCTCATCACCAAAAAATAATTCATTAAGGATCTGTTTGGCACACGAAAAATGGTGAGGAAAGGGGAAAATGCTAAAAACCATACTCCTTTGTTTCTATTTTTGGTTTTAACTTGGAAATGAGAAGGAAAAAAATAATAACAGTTTTAAAGAACTTGAAGTACATGTATTTTTCTTAAGTCTTTATATCATACAAAAAAATGAGTTTTAACAAATACTCCGTATATAAATTTATTTTGAGTTTGATGCATTTTTACTCTTCCCTACATTTTCTTTCCTTCCAAAACTCCTTATTTTCCTCTCCTGTTGCTTGGCCAAGCATTTTCCAAGTCCCAAGCGGACCCTAAGTGGCATTGACAAAAAAAAAGTTATAACAAACACTATACCTTGTCGGGGTCTTTTATTGAGCCCTTTCCTCTAATGAATACACGGCACCCAGTAGAAGTTTCGACCCGCTTCAAAGAATTTCCACGAGGGCCTAAAAGTCTACCAACAAAGTTGTACTGTCCCATGAAAAAAATATGTGAGTTGTGCTTCATTGTTGCAAATCAACATAACACAGAGCAAATCATGGTGCATAATCTCCAACTCAACTTACATTTGGATATCTTTCAACGGGTATATCCAATCGTAAGATCCTCTTTGCTATTAAAGAGCTTGGACTTCCAGATGCTGCTTGCCAATCAATCGGCATCCCTTGTGGCCCGCCAAGTCTCTGGTCCCAAACAAAAACAAACACGACCTCAGTCAGTAATCCAGTCCAAATATCCTCAACTAGATACATGAATACATCACGTTGTACATAAATAGTTCAAAGAAAATCGAGCCATAAGATTGTTTCTCTCTAGTTTGTCTCCATCTGTAGTTGAATAAAGAGAATGTAGAATAACTCTATCTCACTTGACTCTTATGACTTGTCTGGTTGAGTGATTTTAGAGGGGAGGGGAGCATCGATCTTTGTTGTACAAATTTATCTTTATTTTTTATTCCTAAAATTTACATCGACTACATGTTCACTTGTATCATGTTTTTCTATAAAAAAAATCACTCATTTTCTTTAAATTTCCATTATATAAATGTAATAATAAACATAAAATAAAAACCACCCCTCCACCTTATAGCATGAGCTGTCAATCGAAAACTGTGGGAGCTACAAGGGAAATTACATGCATCAAAGATGACTTTGTCATAACCTTGCAAAGAGTACTTTGTGAATCAGCAGTCAGCACAAAGGATGGTTTTGGGGGAACTCAGGGTTCTGTCACTGTTAAAATTATTTTTAAGGATGACAAGATATACTCTCTCAGTAACAGTCTGCTCAGTTAGTTTTAACATGCTCCAAGATAACAAACTTGCTTGCTATGAGCAAGTGTACCAGTGTTTGGTCTTTCAAACTTTTAGCATATAAGATGTTCAAGATAGTTGAATTTTCTCATCACCTTGAAGAAAAAGAACGTCCTTCTCATTCCTTCGCCTTTCAATTGTTCAAAGATAACACCACTCTACCAGTGAAGTTAGTTGATTGGATTTAAAGGAAATTGGCAATAATGATGAGATGTGGGATGTTGTTAAACAAATTGTCAATGGGATTGCCACTTAGAAAACTGATAAAAAATATGTTAAAATGTGTATTATATTTAGCTAAAATTAGGATGTCTAGGTCTTCTCACCTCCTGTTGAAGACTGCCCCAACCACCTAAAACTTTTCCTCCAATATCATGCATCATGTCAAGAGAAGCCATTGGTCTAGGGCTTCCACGTTGCAATCTCTCAAAGTCAGTAAATCCTTGGTTGGTAGTCATCCCAGATACTCTTAATATTTCTGTCATTAAAATGGAAGCAAAATTTTAAAAAGAGGTTTTAGTTTTTGGTTTGGAATGTATCACTGGCTGATTCTTTAGCATATTCTTTATTTCTTCTCCCATGTCCCTACATTATGAAAACTATATCCTTCCAATCTTATTCTACTGTTAAAATATAATTTGAGTTAGTAAAACAATGTCATAAACGCAAATAAGTCACTCCTTAAAAGAATTATTACGAACTAGTTAGTAAAAATAATGTCATAAAAGCAAACAGACTACAGGTATCTACGGAGTACTAGTTACTGGGTAAAAATGCAATGGTCTGTTCTAGTGCAATAGCCTCCATATTTTATCAAATCTCACAATCCCACAAATTTAGAATATAGTTAATTCAACAAGTGTGGATCACCCTGAAGTTGAGAAGGCTGGTATAAGAACCCCCACACCGAATAAGAATATGCTCATGAGAATAATCAGATGCGATACAGTTAGTTTGTGCTGGTAACCAAGAGCTATGATTGAAAAAGAGAAGTAAAGCTAATTCAGCACATGAAGTGTGTCCTCTAACCAGTCCAATCTTTGCAACAAGCCAAAAAGAAAAAGAAAAAACTGTACTTTTGTGTCCACAAGAGAAGTGTGTTAAAAGATATGGAATCGGTAAAAGAGAATCCAAGAACAAAATCTGAGGCACCAAACAAAAACAAAAAGACAAACAACCTTGATTCAAGAGACGGCTGCATATGGGAAGAACTTGCGTGAAGGGGCCAAGCTTCTGCCGCTCCGCTAAGAGCTCTGCCATATACTGACTACACAAAATCAAAACAAACCCCAAAAAGCTTTACAGATTGAGATTCAAGCCCCGAAATTCCAACCAAACAAATAAGCAAGAGAGTAATACCTATCAATATGGTTAGAAACAGCTCTGGCAGGGGAGAAATTGACGTTCTGGTGGTACAGATTAGACATCAATTTCAATCTAGGCGACTGAGAGATGAGAAGATGAAGAGCACAGAAGCGTTACGATTAGGGAAGGAAGATGAAAGCGAGAGACAGCGCAGTAAAACGGGAAACCCTTGAGAGAATGCGACTGTACACATGAATGAATGGGGATTACTTTTATAGCATTATTATAGAGCGAGATGGAGAGTAGCAGCCAGCAGTAAAGAGTGAGAATGAGAGAGGAGAGGTTTAAATAGGTGTGGGGTTTGTATATGCACACGTAACACGTTCCCCCACTGTGCCTCCCCTTCCTTTCTCCATTTGGTATTTACATACACATACGGAGTATTATATTCCTACAATTTTTTTTATTTTTTTCTCATAATATCAAAGTTTATGATATTTTAACCTTTAGTAGTATCATCAAAAAAATATCTTAACTAGTTATTAATCATGCGGGTTTTACATCAATACAGTCACTTATATATTAAATTGTCAAGGTAAAGATTATTTCACACTTTAGATGGTAGTTTTCAATCACTCGTGTGTTACATCGACACATTTTATCCTTTCAAAATTCTTATTCATAGTAATCATATTGTTGGTTAATGGCCCAATCAAGAGATCGGTCCATTGCCTCCTATATCGACGAACGTCTTGACCCAACAAGGGTGTTGATACCAGACGAACGTCGTCAATGAACCAGGGGCAATTATCCATCACAGCCCAAGGCACCACCAACGTGCATCCCCACCCAGGATGCTCAGCCTGGTCCTAGACGGAGGACGTACGACTCACCATCCTTCGTGGCATCATCACGGAAAGGCCCATGACTCGTGAGGACACTCGTCTCCAGATACTGGCCGGGAAACCGAGATTCCGGTGGAAAGCGCATTTAATGCTGCAGATTTGGTGGTTGAGACCCATCCATCCAAAGCTCTCCACATCAGCATATTCATCTGCCCCTTGGTAGCATTTAATTCATTGTAAAGCGTTGACAACTTACCCGCCTTAGCATTCTAGCATTTTTATAGCTCATAGCAGTGTTCACGGCTCTTCTCCTTATAAGACAGACGAACGGCCGTTGGCCAGATAACATTAGTATGTTGTACTCAACTTCTTATTATTACTTAATAAGATACAACCCACTGTTGAAGATACTTCTAAGCCCATCTTACTTGCTACAAATTCATATTCACATACACTCTCCGCTCGAAATCCATGGGTTACGTGTTGGGCCTACGGGTTGAAGAAAAAACCCTCAATATATACACACATTTCTGATTTAGAATTAACAAAATTTTCAATTATCACAGATCATAGATACCCTTAAAATCCATGACATTTGATTAGTCATCTAAGTACAATTTAAAGTCATCAAATCTATCGCCATTTCGGGCAATTTGTATGATATCTTTAGGTTTTGAAGATAAATATGTGTGTGATGTTAAAAGAATCTATCTATTATGTATTCCGACGTACGTATAATTGTTTGCATTTGTATCTATTACATAGTACTTCGTATAACTGTTTGAATTTGTATGAGATGCAATTTTTATATTTCACGCATATATATCAATGAAAAACTTGTAATTGATCCATGCATATATTGTTGGTTAATTATGTAACCAAATAACACAATATGATCCATTCGATATCACTAGTAATTGAATAAAAGACATCTCATATTATGTACAGAGTATTAAAGATATCACTATAAGCAAAATATGCATACTTAAGTAATTAAATTTATCAGCATCTCAGTTAACAATATTTAGAATTTTGTCACAATGCCTATCAAAATTATGCCAAAATCTATTCCTTTTCAAAACAAATGGCACAAAATTCCAAGATGTGTTTAATAAATATTTTTGAAACGGGCTGAAGTGGTTGAGTTCATACTCCTCCCATTCATAGTGCAATTTAATCTCATGCATCAGGTTGTGTAAAATCAAAAGTTAATAATGTGTGGTGCATCGTAAGATATTTGCATTGGTATACATTTTTTTGAAAAATTCTTCTAAATCTATTACTTCGTATAATATTCTGCTCTTGTTAAACAAATGGCGCAAAATGACAAGATGTCTCATCCTTGATTGGGATGAGACGCGAACTTGCGACCTCCTCTTTGGGAGATCAACAATAATACTATCGGATCATAAGGTACTTGAATGCATTGATATACATAATTCATCTATCCATAAAGGAATAGTTACGTATACAGGGACGAATTTATGTTTAGGAGTAGCCCCCCCCCCCCCCCCCCCATTTTTTAAATACTATTAATGATTATGTAAAGGCTTTTTAGAATCTACTGATTGAAATTTTATGTATAAGTAGTCAAATGTTAATTATATATTAATATTGTAGAGTTTCATACTTTGTGACATCAAAATGATACATAGTACTCCGTATTATTTATGATTGATAGATTTATAACCGTATGTAATCATAAATTTATTACTTTATTCATTTCTTATGAAGATAAAAAAAACTCAACCAGTAAGACTATATTTTGAACTTGAAATATACTACGGGGAAAAATAGGGTGGATCTATACATATGTTGGATTTCTTTTTTTAAATCAAATCTGATGAATTAAGTTTGACGTGAGATAAATTTAATCTTACGAAGTACTCCGTTTATGTCTATTTGTATAATTAGAGAGTAATATAAATATATAAATATATATATATATATAATTTAAAATATTAATCATACTTAATTTCCTAAGTGTGTGATGCAAAACTACACACACAAAATATCATTTCATTGTATTAGTTTTTCTTTCCTAAGCATGATATAAATAATAGACTAATATCTATTTAGGAATCTGCCTAATATCTATTTAGGAATATTTTGTATTTTGACAACTCTTCTATTATAAATATATCTGTTAAGACTCCTATTGGAGTACCCCTTCCCATTATTTCACATGGTATCAAGAGCTCTAGGTTTTTAGACACATTTTTTTCTCTTTTTTTTCCGGTTCCCATGAACCCTAGTACAGCCGCTGCAGCCTCGGGGTCGATTGCCGCCACATCTACGGCAGTCTCCGAGCCTTTGAGGATGAGCGCGGCTGATATGGCGCAGATCACCTTCTCCACGTCGCTGACCACGGTGCTTGCTTCCAGCGTGCCGTTGAGTTCGCCGCTTGCTGCTGCCTATGTCGCGCAACCCACCTTCTCTGCGTCGCTGACCACGGTGCTTGCTTCAAGTGCGCTGTTGAGTTCGCCGCTTGCTGCTGCAGACATTTATTCTCATGAAGATCTTATTGTCAAAGATGTGCCTTCTAATCTTTTGCTGGCGGACATATTTACTAAGAGTTTTTTTTAGTTTGCACTTCCATTTTGTAAAAGGACAACATGCGCGTTGTATCTACCGCACAGTTTGAGGGGGTGTAATAGACTAAGAGCATCTCCAATGCTATAATGTGCACGGTGCACACGTGGCATGAGAGATGACCACATAAATATCAGTTAATTAATTTCTCTCTCTTGTTATTTAAATGATTTTATACAGTTTTGGTAAGTTTTTCTCCACAATGTCAAAGAGACCGTCAAATGTTGACATTGTTGTTGACATTGCAGGAAAAAAACTTACCAAAATTGTATAAAATCATTCAAATAAGGAAATAGATAATTTATTTGCTAATATTTATGTGGCTATCACTGCTGACACATGTGCACCGCGCACATTATAGCATTGAAGATGCTCTAATATCTATTTAGGAATCTGCCTAATATCTATTTAGGAATATTTTGTATTTTGACAACTCTTCTATTATAAATATATCTGTTAAGACTCCTATTGGAGTACCCCTTCCCATTATTTCACAATAAACTTGTTGTAAAAGAGTAATTTTGAATAGTCCTAGAAAGTCTCAAATAATTCTAATAGCTAGTGTACGAATGTTTCTATATTCTATGATACATTGAAATCACCGCCCCCTACGATAACATCCTGGCTCTTTCCCTATATGTATACTCATTTATGCCAAGGATGGTTTCGTAAACTGCCTCAAAGCTTACATGTGTTGATTAATTATTAATGGTAACATTTATCAAATGATTTCCTTTATTTATGGAGTTAACCACTTCATGGTTAACCTTCCATTTTCAGAACCTATAGACGGTAAATTGTAAAGATTATGGGTCCAAAGTTAACACACATGCTGATTCCATATTAAGATTATGAAATGTTTATAATATGTTAGTGATTTTGATGATTAATATGTATTGATTTGATTATGCTACTTTTTTTATTATTCCTGTATTAGACTAGTATCACTTGTATTAGTTCTATTTTGTTTATTGTAATGTGCTTCTATATTAGTGATAAAGTACTCAAGAAAAGCAAAGAGTACTAAAAAGAGAAGAAACGTACCATAAAACAAAAAGGAAGCCAACTAAATATAGGAATTTAGCAGCATGCTGAAAACTTAACAGCCAGCTTAAATTCCGTTTTCCAATTAAGGCATCCGAAATCAACTCACTCTTCTCTTAGCACAAAAACAATTAAACAAATTAAAAGACCAACTTGCAGTCAAAATAACAAATTGATAGAAAGTAAATTTATAAGAGATTTTTTTAACATTAACAATTTCTTATGAATTTATTTTGCTAAAAGCAAGTATTTTTTTATTTGTAAGGAAGCATTGAAACGTCACTCAGCTTTTATACTAAGTTTCTACGCACAAAAGAAATAAAGATAAATTATCTTTATCTCTGCATTGAAATGAGGAAACAAGTTGAAGTGAAGATATTGATCTGTGTCACAAGAAGACAGAGATCAACCATGCTCTCCTCAGTCAAGTGGAACAATGCAAGTAGATCAAGCAACGGTCAAGATTGATTTCCTCAGCCAACGGTGGAGATTCAATGATCGATCAGTCTATAAATACAGAAGGAGTGCGGGAAGACCAAATGTGGTAAACCGGGAGGAGCCAAGTGGAATAGAAGGGAGTTAAGTTTTACATGCTCACATCCAGTCAGTTGATTCTCCTTCACTACTTCGGCTACCACCCCACTCATCTAATGCTCTTAGATTAGCTACAATTCATACAAACCTATAGAGCTTAGATTAGTTGGTAGTTTAGATTCACCCATGTAAACTAGACTAGTGTTATACATTCTGGAGAGCTTTTTGTTCAAATCCAGAAGGTGAGAAAGGGAAAGGACATGAGTAGCTCTTGGCGAGTCAATATCATTAGTGAAAATTTT